ACTTAGAATTCAACGCTGAGCAGCCGCCGCGTTGAAAAAATCGTTCAAAGTTATAATGAATTAAACAGTGTATAATTATATTGCAAACATCTTAAAAAAATTTATTTAGAAACGTGGTATTATTATAAAATATTTTAGTTACTTAATCACATCAGTAATATAAAATATAATAAATTTGTTTGCAACTGCCTCCTGACAAAGCGGCGTTGAATTTAATATAAGCGGCGTAAATATTTTCTATCAGCTGTTTATGCTAAGCCCAACACGTTGAGTTCAGGTAGCGTAATAATTTTCCGCTGGAAAAAATAGCGGACAGTTGCCAACTGTTGAGCTGAGCGGAACTACTCAACTGTTCGTTTCTAAGACAAATAGCCAACGGTGAGGCAACAGCTACGTCTTATAAACGCGCCCAATGGCAACAGCTGTCAAAATTTGTATTTATTTACTAACAGAAACCAACAAATTGTGCAGAGCTAAAGTAAACAGAGTTTTTCGCTGAAAATACATCGTTCTTTAAAGAAATGAGTACCGAATAAGATGTTTTAATATGTTTCATATTTGTATATATTTGCACATTGTATTTGCAAATTATAATAATTATAATTGGGCTAGGAAAAGTGCAGGTTTTTTTACGAAAACCTTTCTTCCAATGAAGGAAGGACGTGTAGAACACTTTTTCAAAGCTACACGTATGACGGTTCCTATTTTTCAACTGCTTTTATCACTCATTCAAGACGACTTGACAAAAGAGTGTGTGCGAGAGGCAATATGTCCCGAGGAGCGACTTTCAATCACTTTATTGTAAAAAGGAATAAATTACCTAAACATACAAGTATGTTAATTCATATTATATGTTATTTGAGCACAGGTATTTGGCGCATGGAGTCTCCCATCAGGCGTTAGCTTGGAGTTACAAACTAGGAAAGACCACTGTTCGGAACATCATCTTGGAGACTTGTGAAATTATTTGGAAAGTTTTGCACCCATTCTATGTTAGTGAACCATCGGAATCCCAATACAAGGACATAGCTGAAAACTTTTACACCAAATGAAATATTCCAAATTGTGTTAGTGTTATAGATGGAAAACATATAGCAATAAAGTGCCCACGTAATGCTGGATCAAGTTTCTTCAACTACAAAAAATATCACAGCATTGTGCTAATGGCCACTTGTGATGGGAGATACACATTAACATCAGTCAGCGTTGGAGGGTTTGGTGGGCATAGTGATGGAGGTATTTTTTTTATTGTATACAAGTCCATAAACATAAATTTCAACACATTTTCTTAAGGTATTTTTCGAACAACACCTTTTGGACGAGCACTCCTAAACAATGAGTTACCTCTACCAATAAGCATACCACTAGTTGAAGGAAAATCACCACTTCCATATTTCTTTGCGGGTGATGCAGCTTTCCCTTTACGTTCCAACTTAATGCGGCCATATCCGGGAAAAGCACTCAACAGACAGCGACGGATTTTTAATTATCGTTTACCCAGTGCTCGTCGAGTGATTGAAAATGCATTCGGCATTTTAGTGGCGCGCTGGAGGATCTTCAACCAAACTATTGGAGCTGAACCCCACAATTGTGAAAAAATAGTTCTAGCAGCGGTAGCATTGCATAATTTTATCATGTTAAATGACCAGAAGCGCTGGTATTGTCCAGAAAGATACGCCGATTACGAAACAACGGATCACCTAATCCGTGAAGGAAACTGGAGCTTGGATATAGAGGATGAAAGGTCAGCACCCAAGCCATCTCGGTCTTTCATGCGCAATGCAAGCAAAGAAGCTTTTAAGCTGAGAAATGATCTTGCTGACTTTTTCGAAAATGAAGGTGCTGTGGACTTTCAAAATAAAATTGTTGAACTTTTGTATGGAAGCGCACAGTAACGCACGGTGCACATTAGAGCGATACGATAAGCGATATAATATGAAATCCACATCGACATGCGCCCAGTGCACATTACAGCGATACGACACGCGATACCATATGCGGTGTGATAGAAAACCGGGTCGCTCGGGCAATACGCAGGCGATATATGTCGCCGCAGTGTCGCTGTCGTGCAAGTGTGGACAGTTTTCATCGCTTCCTACCAATTTCCCACGTACTCAGCATATCGATGTCGCTTTCATATCGTATCGCTTATCGCATCACCTATCGTATCGCTCCAGTGGGCACCGTGCCGAAGAGTACAACTCCACAACAAGTTTTTCAGGCATTCAGCAATGGCTGAATTGTGTAGCTGAAAGCCTTAAAAGCGCCAAACGCCTATTGTGGAGTTGTACTCTAAAAACTTTGAAAACTGATCTGAAATATATGTATACGCATAGTTGCCAACTTGGTGCTTTAGGCATTAGATTTAGTGCTTTTTGAAAATTAAAACGCCAAAAAAATTACTTAGTGCCTAGTGCCTTTTTTAGTGCATTTTTTAATTAAAATTACTCCAAGATGGTTAAAACCTGAAATAATTTGAAATATTATAAGCTGTGGTGTCTCATGAAGATGCGGAATTTACAAGAATATACAAATTCAAATGCACTAAAATACAACCATAATTGATAAAAAGCTGAAGTTGCAAACCCACCTTGTTGAATTCTATTCGCGTTGAAAATGCTATTACGCAGGTAAGTTAAGTATTTATTTGTTTCTTTTCTAATTGTTTGTACAAATTTTGATTTTTTTACCACCTGAGTAAAACACATCCTTTCTTGGTGCTGAATCCAAATCTGGCCGCACAATTGCTCTAGTACTAGATATCCTACCCCCAGATTGCCAAAAACACGGTTTTTTGCGATATTTGTGGTTATCAGCCGGGCTCCCATTTTCATTTACTTTTGCGTTTTCGTAAAAATCGTACATTTTTATTTTTGGGTGCCCTTGAGTTCGCAACATTTTGTTATCGATAAGTTCCATTTTCCACATCGTTTCCAGCATTCTTAAAAGCCATCCCTTGAAGGTATGCACCAATTATCGCACATGTATCGTCCGCACCAAATCGTAAATCTTCGTTGCTTCGATAAATTTTCGTTGCCCAAAATGGAGATGTGTATAATAAATAGTGAATTAAACAAATAAAATCAACATAAAAAGTTAATTTTAGGACGCCAAAAATATCGCAAGATATAATGGGCATAATCAAAAATAAATTTAAACTAAGCTAGCTTGGCATTTATGTTAATTTTGCCATTTACTTTTCATTCCACCGTCTCATCGGCAACCGATTTGAAACCGCAAAAATTTTCCGATTTGCGAAAATTGGAGCACGTAATTTTGCGATTTGAAAACTAAAACGCTAAATTTTTGCGAATTCGGAAACGGGAGCCCGGCTGTATATAATGAAAACATCAAATTGTTGCGATTCGATTTTTGTTCTCGAGATATACTAGTTTTAATAGTACTTCGGTATTACGTCGTAAGCATGAGGCATCATGGCATGTGTAGAGGCTATTCAATCGTTATGAGCGAAAACGTTTTTTGTATTGATTTATGTATGTATTCTTGTAATATTGTTAATTTTTTTGCATTTGTTAAATGCAAACTGTAACGAAAAAAGCATCCTTTGATTAAAAAAAATTTGGTGCTTTTAGTTTGGTAAAACGCCTTTTTCCAAGTTTTTGGTGCTTTCTGAAAATAAAAAGTTGGCAACACTGTGTATACGTGTCAGACAAAAAATAGGCTTTTATAGTCCTCAAAAATTTAGTGTAAGAAAGTACAAGTTTCAATTTATTACTAAACCCCGTTGATTTTTGATAAATTTTCGAAAAGAACTACTACATAAGCGCTTTGTATGGAAGGAAATGCATAACACTGTCAGCAAAAAAAATAACAAAAATTAACCGGATTTCGCAGTAACTTGAAACTTGTACTTTCTTACACTAAAATTGTATGGACTATAAAACTGCATACCAAATTTTTTTCTAAAAATTCATATTTTAAAGCTTTCAATTTTTAATGAAGCTTTATCGAATTTTCCAAATTTTTTAACAAAGTTTGAAATTTGGACTTACATTGTTTTTGTTAGATAATGAGCTACACTTGTATAAAAAAATAGTAGGCAAAATAAATAGCAAAAACTTGTTAAAATGTCGCGACCCTATTTTTTGTCTGACGCTGTAAATACCTTTTTCGACCTTTTTTTCCTGAAAAACTAGCTCAAAAAAGCTTTTTAAAGGTATGAAAAATTTTTTTTTATACACGTATTCCACCCGCTTAACTTAGCAGTAATAAAGCTTTTAAAAAACACAAGTGTTCCGACTTTCATTGCATTAAATGCCTTTCACATTTTAATTCACTTAACAAAAACAACAATTAAATACAAAAAAAAATAGTTTTTCATTGCACTTCATAGCGATTAATTAAAAAAATATAACCATAACTAAAATTATACACAAAACATACATACACTGGCAATCAAAAGTGAGTGCATGGTGTGTTTTGTTTAATATTTGCAATTTTTTTCATTTTGACCTTTTTAATTTAAATTTTTAGAAAAATTCTGAGTACGCAGATATGTCGGTTTTTAATTCTAGTGAAACAAGATCAAGTTTTAAGCGGCTAAAAAATCACGTTGTTTTTTAATGAATTTTTTTTCCGACGGATTTTGCGGTTTTTACCATATAAAAGGGAATTTCGTGTAGAATAATATACGCATGACCGTTTACAAACAAAATTAAAAAAATAACGCTATATATTACAAATTGCACTTGTTATATGCATTAAACCGCAAAATCCGTCGGAAAAAAATTCATTAAAAATCAACGTGATTTTTTAGCCGCTTAAAACTTGATCTTGTTTCACTAGAATTAAAAAACCGATCTCCGTACTCAAATTAAAAAGGTCAAAATCTTGACGAAAATTCGTTGAATTTTTCTAAGTTCTGTATAAAGTTTGATAGTTTAACTTATGTGGTTTTAATTAAAGCATGAACCATATTGTTATAAAAAAACAACAACAAAAAATTCACTTTAAAAACATTGCAAGTATTAAACAAAAAACACCATGCACTCACTTTTGATTGCCAGTGAAAATAGACTTCGACAGTCTTGCGTCCTAATTAAAGTGAGGAGGATTGGGTGCTATGCCCTCCACATAGTCTCCATGGCATTGCAGTAATTTAGAACATCATATACCGCCTTCTTTTTTACGGCCTTTATCGGTATTCGCTTCACTTTGGCTTCCACCGCTTTAAGGATGTGATGCAGGTCTTCATCGTCGTCTGCCTCTCCTGAGGGTTTGCGGCTTGCCACTAACTCTTTCATTACGCCGACAGCTTCTTTTAAATGCTCTTGAGCATCAGTGGCCTTATTTTGCCTTTTAGAGTGTTTTGCGGGAGTGGTATCCACAGTATCTGTGGACATATCTTTCCCATCATCGTCATTGCAAAATTCAAGTATGTTACTACTAGTCCGAGTTCTGAAAACGTTTTCAAAAGTTAGTTATTTTTAGAATACTTTTTTAAACCAAAATATATGCCTTCGAGGTTTAACGTGTTCTCTCAGAAACATCATACTGTCTATGAGAGGCCACGGCTCTATTTTGGGGGCCCCGCTGCCAGACGGTGCTTCTAAGCGCCGCAACTCCTTTCCAAACCTGTCTCGTAGGCTTGCCCAACTACGCATGCATTCCTGTTCTAAAATAGTATGAAAATTGTTAATTAATTTTTCTATACATTCATAGTAGACATACATATGTACTTACCAGTGCCTCCAACTTCGTTAGCTATTTCACGCCATCCCGCTGTCTTCAACTTAGGCAGCCTGAAGCCTTTCATGGCTTTGTCATATAAAAAATCACGGCGACGTACCGCATCAATCAATAACTCATCAAAATCGGTCATTTTTCTTAGTTTTTTTAAGTTCGTAAATTCAATTTAATTTAGGCGCCTATCGTTTTTGTCAACAAACAACTGTCAAATTGTCGTAAGAAGGCGGAAGAATCTAAAATCGACAGATCTTTGCGATGCATACCGTTCCGCCGCGTTCATTATATCTATTTGCATGCATTACACATACAATAGATAATTAAGTGACAGTTCACTCCGTTCCGTTACTTCCATTATAACCCAGGCTTCCATTATAATAAGGCAGAACGTACCGGGCGCAATTTACTGCAAGCATTTGACAAAGCTGATAGAAGCTGTTCGTTATGTTCTCTTCTTTTGTTGTTGGCAGGCCACTGATGATGACATCCGAAGATATGAGGTTATTCTCATGCTCGCTCATTTGTTCAGTCAAAGCATGTACGTCATTGCGAAGCTTTTCACACTCCATCTCGTTTTTTTTCATACGCTCATTAACGTCTTTAAGCGATCTTTTTAAATTTGCAATTTCCGTTGTTATCTCACCAATCCTCTCCAAGACACGCTCTTCAGATTGCCTCATACGTATTATTAGCCGTTCGACTATACTTTGCTTATGAGATTCGAGGTGAGCATCTAATTTTTCGAACCATACATTAAGAGGTAGATTGGTACTCTCAGCGCTCTGAGGCTTCTCTGCAGCACTGAAGGAGTCTTAGGTGAAGGGGAAGACTTACGTGTAGTTTTTCTTGTTGAAATTTTTGACATGCAACAACAAAGCAAAATTAAACAATCTAGAATGCACCAAGTTTTTAAGATTTTAAATCCGCACTACGTTCGCAGGTGACTTAAAGTTGCTATGATATCGGCACACTCGGATAGTTTAACCACTCACAGACACTATTGTATCAATTTAACCAATTAAAGCACACGGTGGATCGAAGAAAATATGGATAATAGTACAGCTACTTAAGAATGCGTCTACTCGCGTGACATTTGTGTATCAACTACTGTAACTAATGTAATTGCATTTACCCAGCTCAGGGCGGAAGTAAAAAGTAAAGAAGATATTAATGGTAAAGTAAATTTTTTTGATTTTTTAAATATTAATATCTTCTGGTTCTATAGACTCACCTTCTTTTTTTTTTGCTAAACGGTAGGTATTCCACACCACGGCTACTTCGGACCAGGGTTGCTAGGAATATTCGCATTCGCAATAATCAATGAGGAGCTTTTGAAAATGCGAATGTTGTGCAAGTGCATCGATAAAACGTATATTTGCAAACAAAATGGCAAATTATACCCAATATTTTATGCCTGTGGTCGTGGGAGTATTTGTGTAACAAAATTGGTCACATGTCATATTTATGAACTTTGATAAAAATTTATTTAAACATATTCACCCTCATTGCGAGAGAACGTGTCGAATACAAGTCGTTTTAACAAGCTTTTATTTAACTTGGTCATCCCGCGGAAATTTCCTATCGATTTTAAACTAACTTTCCGACAAGCTACAGACTTGAAATTTTCAGCATTTTCAGTTTCAATCACGATGACAATGCAATATAAAATATAAATTAATTCCCTAGATGGTCCAGGGGTCTTGATACAAAGGCGGTCAAAACACAGTAAAATTTATAGCTAACAGAGCGTAATTTGCCAAAGAACGTAAAAACGCTATGAATTTGTTAAATAATAAGTATAGTTTCAGGCGCTAGTAAAAGATATACCGGAAATTAGCTTCAGCTGTGTTTAACTGGCCAAACTGTTAAATTTCAGGCACTTCTGTTAAGAATTACATTATTTGGTTTCCTCACACAGGGAGTTAGTGAAATACAGTGATACGTTAAAAGGCACGCAAAATGCACATGCATGCATCTACAAAGTATATACTTCTAATATACCGCAGGCGAAAAAATTTCAGTTAGTACGATGTGCTTCTTTTGAATACTGTTAAAGCGATGTGGATAATGCTACATAGTCGTGTGCCATGGGATGTTATAGGTAAACGGAAAATAATTGTCTATAATCAACACAGATACCGAAGTGGTCAAAAGGCTTAGCTTAGGTGAAAATGCTTCAGTTTAAGATAGAATTTACATTTAAAGAAGTTTTCTATTTAAACCAACAAGATAAAATCTTTATAAGAGCTGTTTGCTCATAGAGCGCTACTGCTATGCATATAACAGAGAGTAGGTGACTTCGGTAATGATGTTTAACTGGAGGTTAGTGTTAGCCAGAGATGGCATAAACAACCCTTGGGGCCGTTTTTTCAATGTCTAGTTATCACTACCTCCCAGTTAAACGTCATTATCGACATTTTTCTACCGGTTTGTGTTAACCGGATATTGAACGGCCCGGTTGTTCAATGTTTGATTAGCACTAATCAGAGGTAGAAGCTCTGGTTAAAACCGACTGCTTTATCGATCACATGTTATATGCACGATGTCGAAAACGTCGATAATAATGTTTAACCGGCAAGTAGTGATAACCAGATATTGAACAACGGCCCTTATAGCCCAGTTATGCATACTTGCACTGCTATACCATTTTTACGCAAAAATAAAAACTCAACAGAATTCTACATGTTAAGTGCTATGCGTTGGGTAACCGCTTACACGCAAATCCCATTTAACAGATTCTTATGTGACAACTCTCATGCAACGGTAAGTATGCCTAACTGGGCTGTTAGTCAATTGTTGTCGTTTGACAGCGTGAAACCCTCTGTAGTGCGTTTGCGATTCAATTTCAGCGTTCTACGTAAAAATTAGTTAATCAAATAATCTCGTGTTAAAGACATAAATCTGTAAAAGTGCTCTAGCAAGGTTACAAAAATTTTAATTTCCTGTGCAATCATCTTAAGAGCGCACATATGAACATATGTACGGATATACATATCGTCGATGTTTTTGTAAAACCGCCCATCGGCCAATTGCTAAACCGCCTATGTATCTTACGGCACTCAGATTTTACAGGAGATCGAAAAACGGTTTTTCTTTGAAGACATTGCCTAGATAGACGGTATTTTCTCTAGCCAATATTTTACAAATCTATTGTTTTAATAACGATTTTACGATTCCTATGGAAAAAATACTGGTTGCCTGGAGTTAAAGGTTACCAAATCTCATTTTTGTCACAATGACGATTTAAGCGGTTTTACAACTGGCCGATGGGCGGTTTTGCAAAAAAATCTACGTTATGTATGTATGTAGTTAACTTACATACATATGTTTCCACAGAATGCTATATATTCTTGCAATACTACATATAAATACTAGTTCGTTCGAAAGCAGGTATGCTTTTCATATTTAAGTATGTATAAATTTCCAAATAATTTGCAAAAATCTCCACATACAGAACAAACATAAAACCAAAATGTATACTATGCACTTATGTTAGCTTTAAATTTTAACGTTTTCGCAGTTTCCTATGTCTGTTGTCATCTTAAGCAGGGATCACAGTTGAGTAGTTCCGCCATTTTTTCCATTGTACAATTTTATCGCTACCTGAACTCAACGTGTTTTGCTCAACGTAGACAGATGATCGCAAAGATTTACGCAGCTTATATTAAATGTACTATGCTCATATATGGAGAGTCATCCTTTAATAAAAATATTATGTCCTGACTATATAAAAGAAAACTAAAAAGTTCAAAATAAAATAATGTAAAAAAATTTATTTTTTTAAACAAGCTTTTATTTAACATGTACAATCAAAAGAATAAAATAAAGTAGTGAAGAAAAGATTTTATAGCAAGAAAATCTTGTAAAAACTGCACTAAAATCAATAAAATTAAATAAGTTAAGATCTCGTTAAAGTTACTAAAACCCGAATAGTAAAAGGAGTTACTCAAACTCTAACGAAAATTACTAACCATTTGTACTAATTTACTTCGTTTTTAAAAAAACTTGTGGGCGAATTCAGCGTACATGCATTGTTGGTTAGGTATGTATATGTACGTATGCAGATATGTAAATGCGGGTTCGCTTTTCGCGTGACAACATTTTTTAAAAACGAAGTAAATCAGTACAAATTGTTAGTAATTTTCATTAGAGTTTGAGTAGCTCCTTTCACTATTTGGCTCTTAGTAACTTTAACGAAAGCTTAACTTATTTTATTTTATTAATTTTAGTGCAGTTTTTACAAAATTTTCTTCCTAAAAAATTTTTCGTTACACTACTTTATTTTCTTTTGATTGTACATATTTAATAAAAGCTTGTTTTAAAAATTTTTTTTTTCTATTATTTTATTCGAGAGTCGAATCGTAACGAAAATTTCACGTCATTGCCTAAAAATTCCACTCGACTAGTGTATTAAATCGAAAGTTTGGCAGCACTGTATAGTTTTCGACGATTTCCTTCGCTTACTTATTTCAGCATGACAGTAGTAGTGGTAAAACTGTCCCCCTACGTCTCCCTTCTTTGCTATTTAGAGTCAAAGATTAAGCTCCTAGAATAGGGATTTCCAGCAGAAATTGTCAACGTCTGACCCCCGCGCCGCGCTCCGCCGTTCACGCGCGGCGGCGTGGGGGAGCGGGACGCGAAGGAGAGTAATTGCATGTTTAAGGTGACGTTGTAGTTCAAGGCGGTTTAGTAGTTTTGTTGCGAACTTTTTCCATTGTTTAAATAAAAGAAATATAAAAATTTGAAAGCGAAATAAAGCCATATGGCTTAATTACCAATTGTAATTGGAAATAAAACCATATCGAATTTATGGCCTTATTACCAAAAAATATGGCTTTATTTCCAATATGGCTTTATTGCGTATGGCCTTATTGCACCCCACCGTTGAAAGCACCGCTCAGCAGAGTTAGAACTCCGGCGTGCTTAAATCGGAGTAAACCAGAGTAAAACGTAGTAGAATATGAAACTCAGTAAACCTTTTATACATTATTCGTTTAAATACTCATATTTACATAGATGTATATACACAAATAGGTAAGACGAAAATTTAGCATTTTTTTAATAACCTTACGTAGTTAGTTTTAAAACGGGAGAAAAAACGACTTCGTGTTTTTTTAGGTTTAGATACCGCAATAGGTCAACTTTATTTTTGAAAGAAAATTTAAGTAGACTCAGCTATCCGGTTTTACTCCCATCATGGTTGATTAATACGGGTTATAAACGGGCTCACTTATATGCATAATCAGCCTTTATTTGCATTAACTCATGCATTTTCCTCTTTTAAATGCGCATAAGCAGCCGAATTTTCGAGGACAGCACTGGTGGAAACGGTCAGCTGTTGTCTTTTGTAAGTAACCAAACAAAGCAAGCGAGTTTCGCGTCCGCGGTAGCCGAGTAGGGAGAGTTGCGTGCTACAAGTCTGTAGGTGCCAGGTTCGATCCTCAGTTGGAGTGATTTCCAAAAAACTATTATTTTTTATTTTATTTTTTTAAACTTTATTTTATTTATATATTTGATTTTACTCTTTAATTTTAATTTTGCTCTACATACTGGCATATGTAGTACGTAACCAATTATTCTTAAAATGATCTCCTATTTCATGCAACTCAGCTAAGGTTTCAAGAGAGAGTTCATGACGCTTCTTCCAGTTAAAGGGATAATTAGTGAAATTTTCTTAATTACTTATACTTGGAAAATTCGGACATTTTTTAATTCGCATGAATGCGATAGTAAAAAACACAAATCTACTACGGGAATTTAGTTTAGTGACTAGCACAGCTGCCGCATGCTCTCGCTTTGTATATGTACGTACTTCGATTGAGAGAAATAGAGATTGCGCCTGTCGCGGTACCGCTAATCCGCTCTTTGTGATTTTGACAGAATCAGCTGCGTGCGTGACGTCATCTTAGTGCAATTGTTGATTGTGAGCATACCAATAAGCCAAATAACAATTTTAATATTTGTGCGTTAATATTTCTGCGTGGTTTTAAATAATTATTGAGCCATTACAAAGCAAAATGAAGTGTGCAGTGGCAAAGTGTAATAGTGAAAACAAAAGGAAAGCGTGCGATATAAGTTTTTATTTCGTTTCCTACGGACGCAAACCTGGCGAAAAAGTGGAAGCAGTTCTGCCGGCGAGGAGATGCATTAAACACCAAATCGAGCTTTGTGC